CCTCAACAAGGTTTTGTCCCAAGTCTAATTAATACCACCCAATGATTAAAGTGGATCCAACCTTGAACATTTTGCTACAGATAATATTGTTTTTTCTATCCATCATAAGTTACAGCAGCTCTCCCTATTGTGCAGAAAAGAGTGATAAGGACAAGAAGTACCTAAGCTGCTGACAGAGAGACATAAAGCCTCTGAGGCTGAGCTGGAATCAGTCTGGATGTGAAATGTATTACTGGAGCTACACAGAAAGAACCTAATCCACGCTGAACATATTTTCACTGGCTCTAACCATCATACACAGCCTCCCTTGGCTATGGACCACAACTTTAGTAATTCCTCTCTATCCTCCAGGAGAGACAACTGAGAAGGACCTCATTCATGGATTCACGTACACAAATAGGAAGTGCCAAGAGGATAGATCAGACCCTACTCAGCGGAGGAAACCAAGAAAACAAGAGGAAACTGCAAAAACTGTTGCCCAGGAAGTTCCACCTGAACACAAGGAAGAACTTCTTTCCTGTGCAGTCACTGAGCACTGAACGGATTGCCCAGAGAGGTCATGGATTCTCCCTCACTGGAGATATTCCAGAACCCTCTGGACACAACCCTGAGCCATGTGCTCTTGGGTGGCCCTGCTGGAGTAGGGAGGTTGGACCAGATGACCCATTGTGGTCCCTTCCAACCTAACTGACTCTGTGGTCCTGTGGTCTACAGCTGCCAGACTTTTCTGCATCAACCAACAGCGAGTCTGGCATACATTTAAGTTTGACACTGTTTATTAACCAAGTATGACTAACAGCAGGACAACAGGTCAGAAATGAAAAAAAACACCCAAATCTACTTACCATAAGTAAGATTAAACACAGCAAAACCTCGGGCAGGATAGAAAGACCCTCGTCCTGCTACAGAAAAGCACTGCATCTTTTCACTCATCTTTATGGTCTCTTGGATTGATGTGTCCTCCCCATTCAGCCAGTTCCACGCCCGCATGCAACCATCGAGCCGAGGGTTTATCTATGGAGATAAAGCAGTGTCTTATGCCTCAATCTGCTGTTCCGTGAGGAAGAACTGATTTTGGGTGGAGAGGAATACTGAGTTATATTATGTTACTAAATAGGAAAAAAATGTTTTGATGTGTTAATAAGAGCATTGTCAGCAGGTCAGGGAGGTGATCCTGCCTCTCTGCTCAGCCCTGGTGAGGCCACACCTGGAGGATTGTGTCCAGTTCTGGGCTCCTCAGAACCAGAGGGACATGGAGCTCCTGGAACAGGTCCAGGGGAGGGCAAGGAAGATGCTGAAGGGACTGGGGCACCTCAGTGATGGGGAAAGGCTGAGGGAGTTGGGGCTGTTCAGTCTCCAGAAGAGACACTGAGAGGGACCTCATGAATGGATTCAAGTCCATGAACGGGAAGTGCCAAGAGGATGATCAGACTCTGCTCAGTGGGGAAACCAATAACACAAGAGGGAACAGTAAAAACTGCTGCCCAGAAAGTTCCACCTGAGCACAAGGAAGAACTCCTTTGCTGTGCAGTCACTGAGCACTGAACAGATTGCCCAGAGAGGTCGTGGATTCTCCCTTACTGGAGATATTCCAGACCCATCTGGACACAACCCTGAGCCATGTGCTCTAGGGTGGCCCTGCTGGAGTAGGGAGGTTGGACCAGATGACCCATCCCAGTCCCTTCCAACCTCACTGATCTTGTGATTTTGTGGTTTTGTGTTCTGCACATGCAAATCAATCAGCAGCAACCTCAGTCCTGCAAGCCAAAGCAAGTGAGTGGTCAGTATTGCTCAGGAAACTCCCCTGAACTCAGCCTCTCTCCACAGGCAGAAGGGCCCTAGCTAGTGCAGGTGCTGATTTGGCTGTATTGATTCTGTAAGCTCCTCTATGTGTTGCACATCATTAGTGTGATTTGCTTCTAAAGCTCTGCAGCCAAAGCTCTTTAATTCTGCATTTGAATGCTGGAGGATAACTTGAAGCTAAAAAACTCAATCCTTTGTGTCATTGCAAACAGACACATAAGGTGGATCTGATCACAGTGTAAGTGTTTGGGTTCTGGCTTAAGGAGGAGTGATTGAGCCACAGGATGAGCACCACTCCATGCACACCTTGTTCCTTCCAGCTTCTAGTTATGCTATCCTGTACTGAATGTCAGCATGAAAATGTGAGACAGTATGTATAGAGAAGGCTCCCTGCAAAGCCTCTAAGTCAGCAGAATTACCTCCATTAACTAAAGGAGAGAGAGAATTAAGTGTCTGAGCCAGGATAAAAACCTGAGGAGTTTTTGGCTCTCAATCCTAGCTTCAGACCACACCCCAACCTTACTGTTTCAGCCAAGCAGTGGCCCTGAATGACTTCTTGTGAGGCACGGGAGCCTTCCTCAGCTGCTGAGCTCCCAGTCATAGAGCTACAAACTTGTCACCTCATTTAGAAAGAAAGAGATGCAAATTTGGGTTCCAAGCTGCCAGCTCTGTGTGTGGTAGATATTCAAACCAGCCTGAACAACAGCAGTCATCCGATCTCACCCCAGGAGTGCCTTAACTTTTATTCCTATGCCCTATCCACTTGAATTAGGAGGAAAATAAGCTCCTGTTTTCCTTTGGGTCTCACTAAATTGAAACAGCAAACACAAACAGCAAAATTGTGATACAATATACATGAAGTATACAGAAAAATTGTCCTTGCTGTTTTCAGACTTGGTAGGCATAGTGACACCCTCACACAGTGATGTGCCCACTGACCACCCCCAGGGCCACTCATGCTCTCCAAGCCAGCATGACCACTGTGAATTCAAAGCCAGGTTAGATAAAGCCTTGAGCAACCTGGTCTGGTGGGAGGTGTCCTTGCCCAGGACTAGATGATCTCTAAGCTCCATTCCAACCCCTAAAATTCTTTGATTCTATGAATTTGGTCATGTGCTCCAGTTTTGCTGTGCCCTAACTCTGCAGGTGGGATACAACTCACCCAAACTTACCAACCAACGAATCAGAAATCTCACCTTTGCTAATGGCTCAGGCTCCCTCTAAAGTCAATGTAGAGAAAGCTGCATCCAGAAGGTGCTAATTCCACCTGTTTCAGGGGAGGCTGAACTCTCAGGAAGGACCTACATTACCCCAAAAGAAGGTGACAAGAAGCCCTTTGGACATGCAAAGCAACACAAGTGATTGTGTTAAACTTACCGGTAGAATAAGGTCCTTTGTTTTGAAAGGAATGCCTCCTACTGTCAAATTCAGCTGATACACTCCTCTGTCTAGAGTAAACAGGTCCCCTGAGACAGCTATTTTCATAACTGCATCCTTGTTGACCTTTAAAATCAAACTTCTTTCGAGTTCTTCAACAGAGATCTGAAAATGTAAGATTGTAAATAGAACAATTCAGTGTAAAAAGAACTTGGTACCTGCAGCCTCAAGTACAAGACACCAATGAAATCCCCAAGATGGAGAAGAATTTTCTGTTCCCAAGCCTCTTTGTCTTTTCAGTTACAGTCCAACTTGATGCATAAATCTCTACTCTAGAAAGCAACCTGTGGTTGCCATAACGGTGAAGACAGTCCAGCTACTTCCAAAAAAGCAACAGAGAAGCACAAGTGCATTAACTACATGACATTTGTGGGTTGCTCTATGCAAAATGTGAATGCAATAACAAGTTATCAATGAGAAACTTCCTGTTGCAACTGCATGTGAAAAGAGGAGTTGAAAAGATAGACAAGATGTCTTTGGTTGGATCAGAGGAAGATAGATCAGATGCCTTCCAGACAGTCCTGGAATACTGACCTCTGCGAAAGGAACAACAGATGATGTCATGTTTGAGAGGGTAATAAAAATGTGTAATAGGCAATAATTTTCTCTCAAAAAAGTCTCTGCAAGTTTTCCCTTCATGTCTCTGAAGAGCTACTTCTAGGAAGATTCTATCACCACTGAAATGTCACAGAAATTTCATAATTCTGATTATGACCAGGCTGCAGGGAGAAGCACTATAAAGTATCCATCTCTGCAGAGGGAGAGGAGGAGGCAAAGCACAAAGCTGACACCCCAGGCTGTCCAACAGCAGCAGAGATTTTGCTGCCTTGGGACCTGGGTCCTGCTACTGTGGCTGTAGCAGAAGACAATCCCAATCTTCCTGTAGGGAAGAAGAAAGGAGCACAGCTCTGCTATTTCACAATCTCCTTCCCACTCTATGCCAGATACTCCACCTACTCACTCCTCATCTGTACAGCTCTGCTCCCTGGGACACCCTGATGCTGCCTCCATCAGTGAGCCACAGTACAGAACTAATTATCTATTTCAGAGGCTGTTTAGACATGTTCTTCCCTCTCCCTGCTAGCAGGCCAAGTCCTGAGCATCTTTCTTTTTGCATCTCAAGTAGCTGTCCCAAAATTGCTTTTATGAGCCACACGTAGCTCTTGCTCTGTGTCTGTAACATTAAGGAGGACAGGGTTAAGCAGCTTTATAGCTGGACACTCCCTTTGGATCACAATCCTCAGTAATAAAGATAAAATGAATTTGATAGTTGGAAAAATTATACACAGACTTTCTCATCTCATCAACCTTTTTTTCTTCTCTTGTGGATTCCAGTACATTCTGGTTTATACTGTCAGAACACAGTTTACACCTGGTGTGTTGTTCTGTGCAGGACCTACAGGACATGAATTTATTTGTGTGGCACCTACACCTCCTGACTGTATTCCATGGAGACACACAAGACAGTCTCAGGCTAGTTTGTGTGTCTCCATGGACAAGTTTTTTTGGGCATTGGTAGGATGTAAAGTCCACTCAGTGTGTGGGAACATAAGCCCACAGGTCCTGACTGCCACAGCTCAACTGGCTGAGCTACTCCATCTATCTACCTAAAAACTCACTTGGACACCTCTGCTTGGTGTCATTGCCACTGAACCATAGAATCACAGAATTTTAGGGGTTGGAATGGAGCTTAGAGATCATCCAGCCCCAACCCCCTGCCCTGGGCAGGGACACCTCCCACCAGACCAGGTTGCTCAAGGCTCATCCAACCTGGCTGTGAACACTGCCAGGGTTGGGGCAGCCACAGCCTCCCTGGGCAACCTGGGCCAGTGTCTCACCACCCACACAGGGAAAACTTCTTCCTAATATCTAACCTAACTTTCTTAGCTGCTTCTGATCATTAATACAAGCAAACCCAAAGCAGTGGAAACTTCCATAGGTTTCCCTGTGGAAACTCTCAGCAAATTCCAGTTCAGGAAATAACATTCTGTGTACTTCACAATGTCCTCTGGCTGGTTAAGCTCCTGTTCCTTCGAAGCAAAGCTTAGTTGCTGGTGCACCACATCCCCTACAAACCCAGAGGGGAAGCATTTCAGGAGTTAGCACTGCCCCAATTCCCTCCTCTTGTGGCAAGGAGAAGCCAGTTGCTGCCTGCCACAGTTCTCATTGATTCAGGGAACATTGTGACAGGCACTTCTCATAGCTAAGGATCATAGAATCATAGAATCAGTGGAGTTGGAAGAGACCTCAAAGATCATCGAATCCAACCCTACTGTGGTCACTAGACCATGGCACTAAGTGCCACATCCAGTCTCAGCTTGAAAACCTCCAGGGATGGTGAATCCACAACCTCCCTGGGCAGCGTATTACAATGCCTGATCACTCCCTCCACAAAAAATCTCTTCCTAATATCCAACCTAACCCTGCCCTGGCAGAGCTTGAGTCTGTGCCCTCTTGTCCTGCTGCTGGTTGCCTGGGAGAAGAGACCATCCCCCACCTGACTCCAACCTCCTGTCAGGGAGTTGTAGAGGGTGATAAAGTCTCCCCTGAGCCTCTTCTTCTCCAGGCTGGATTCCCACATGGTTAGCCACAAGGGCAGTCAGCTCTGTGCTTTGGATTCATGCCCTGGGTAGCTCATAGCACACAGCCAGCCTGTCTGCTCTTTGCTGAAAAGCAAGTGGACAGCACTGGGGAGGGACAGAACCACAATCAGCTGCAGGGTTAAAGCCAAATACCAACCTGCCTGTGATTGCTTTAATCTTCAGCCCTGACATTTAGCAGTGCAGGGAAGTCATTATTTTTGCTAACCATACTCAGAGCAGGACTAAACTGAATACTGAAAATAAGGCAAAATGATGACTCTTTTTGGAAATGCAAAACAAACAGGAGGCCACTGTGTTCTCTGCTATCATCAGTTCATTTGTGCCACTTCATCCAGCTGGATTATGCACAAATAACTACATTAGAAGTCTTTCCTGAGACCTGCTTGTTTGTGTTTTCAATGCTGGTTCAATGCTCATTTAAAAATAGCTTAGGAGGGAGCACCATCAGAAAAAACAAGTAGGTAGAAATACTGGCCTGAAGTTTTGAAACTGCCATCCTATTTCCATTGAAAGTACACAACTTTTGCTCAAGAGACCAAAAGACATACATTGCTACTGCTTTTTCATATGTTTTGCTTTTAAATACCCATAGTTTGTCCATCTGCTAAGAGTTAAATAGTAAAATTACTATTTTCTCACAATCCCTATAAAGTTCTCCCAAGTACCCAAACTCCTCTGGTTTAGGTCTTACCAAAACTAAGCCCTTGATTCTGTGCATAACAAAGTCCAGACTGAACCTGCCAAACTGCATTTGAGTCTGGACTGTGACCTCTGAAGGTTGCTGGGGTTGTGTTTTGCAGAAGGTGAGGCTGAAAAGTACACGCAAGTCCATGCTTAAAATTCAATGTGTGGCTGCATGTTTTATAAAAGGAGACAGGCAAAAAGGAATAACCCCTCCTGGAGAGGATTTCCTCAAGTGAAAACCATGCCAAGGAGAAATATGGGAGGGGATAAAAGAGAGGAACATATTTATAGTTGTATTGTTCAGCCATATAGATCGAATGGCACATAGAGATGGGTGACACTAATCAGAGGAATCATAGAATCAATTGGGTTGGAAGAGACCTCAAACATCATTGAGTCCAACCCTAATGGACCTCTAGAGTGAAGGCAAGGAGTAAGAAAATAGTGCAGAGAAAGGAGAAATGGGCAGCAGTGCAAATAAGGCAAGCAGGGACCCAAGTCTCAGAGGTGAGTCAAGCATGAAGTCGAGAGATCAAAGGCTCCTTCCTCCTGCTGCTGTTCACCCATGGGTAAATCCCACAGCCTTTGGCCAGTACCAAGCACAGCGTTATGAGGACAGGCTGAGGGAGTTGGGGCTGTTCAGCCTGGAGAAGAGAAGGTTGTGTGGAGACCTCAGAGCAACTTTTCAATATCTGAAGGGCCTACAAGGAGCTGGAGAGGGACTCTGTGCTAGGAGCTGCAGGGACAGGACAAGGGGCAGTGGGTTCAGACTGAAGGAAGGAAAGTCTAGACTAGATGTGAGAAAAATGTTTTTTACTCTAAAGGTGGTGAGACACTGGCACAGGTTGCCCAGGGAGGCTGTGGCTGCCCCAACTCTGGCAGTGTTCAAGGTCAGGTTGGATGAAGCCTTGAGCAACCTGATCTAGTGAGGAGGTGTCCCTGGCCAGGGCAGGGGGTTGGGACTGGATGATCTCTAAGGTCCATTCCAGCTCTATTCTATGATTCTATGATTATCAGTTTTGCTTTGGGAGACAGTTAACAGGACTGTGGCCATCGATCTTCTCCAGGCAAGCAGTCCAGCGCCAGCTCTACATGGTGATCTGTCCTCCACTTGTGCTGTGCTGTGTCTCTGGCCCTGCTCAGCCCACAAGCAGGGCAGCAGCTCTGCCAGTCTGGGTCCTGTACACCTGCACCACATGGCACTCACAGCTCGGTCTGCACTGTCCAAAAACGCCTTGTGAAAGGATTTCCAGGGGATTTATACAACCTCTTAGAAAAGAGTGCACCACAGGATCACAGAATCATAGAACCATCAAGGTTGGAGGAGACCTCTAAGATCTAAACTCCAAACCAGATCCTCCAGTGCCACATCCAGATGCCTCTTCAACACTTCCAGGGATGGTGGAAGTGTTGTCCTGGGCAATCTATTCCAGGGCCTGAACACCCTCACAGGGAAAACATTTCTCCTCACATCCAGTCTGACTCTGCCCTGGCTCAGCTCAAGGCCATTCCCTCTAGTCCTCTCCCTGCAGCCATGGCAGGACACACATCTCCCACCTCTCTTCAACCCTGGCACGGAGTTGCAGAGAGCCAGGAGGTCACCCCTGAGCCTCTTCTCCAGGCTAATCAAACCCAACTCCCTCAGCCCTTCCTCATCCCACAGGTTTTCCAGCCCTTTGCTGCCCTCGTTGCCCTTGGCTGGACTCGCTCCAGTGCCTCAATGGCCTTTGGGCAGTGAGTGCCCAAAGCTGAGCACAGCACTGAGCTGGGACCTCCCCAGTGCCCAGTGCAGGGGGATGAGCACTGCCCTAGTGCTGCTGCCACACTCTGCTGGAGCCAGGACAAGATGCCCTTGGCTGGTGCACACTGTTGGCTCACACTGAGACCTCATAATGAGGTCTGGCACTTAAGAAGTATGTTACACTTCCATGTTAAATAGTTTAGCTTTGGTAACTGCTGTTTCTGTGACTGCCAAGTCACCCCAGTGACATCCACTCTGTTTGTCACATCTTCTGTCACCATCCTCTTCTTGCAAGCAGTTACAATTGTCATATCTCAAATCAGCAGAACAAATCTTACCTTAACATTGAGTAAGAACTGACTTGAGGCTATTCCTACATGCAAAGATACAGCATGTCACACATTTTATCTACAGCTTCACTGAATCTCTACATCTCTCCATCTGGAATCTAAAATTGTTTCACTGACAGTAAAGGAACTGAACCAAACATCACCTCATCTGCTGGAGCCATTGCCAAATGTCAGCAGCTCACAGTAAATGCTTTCACGTACTTCTTTATTTATTCATTAAAACCATTTTTTCCCACCTTGCTCATTTCTTTCATCTCTAATTTTGATTTTTTTTGTTTTATATACTACAAAGTTTAAACCAGAAAATGATTCACAGTTAACAGGATCTGTATTCCCACCCACTCCCCAGGAGAGACGTCAACTTAAAAGAACTAATTAAGTAAGCAGCAATGAAAGGAGAGGAAAAGGCAGAAGTGAGAAAGGATATATAAATTGCTCTTGTACTGTACATTATACTACAGGATACATTTCATGATCCTGTCATAAATGGGAACAACCACAATGCTCCCAAATTCACCAGGCAATGTCCTGTGAGAGTCTCAAGAACATGAACCCTTACAATCCTTACAATCTCATGGGATTCTATTAGTAAACAGAGATTCTGATAGACCCCAATATCTTTACAAAGGATATGATCTGGTTTGCATATTAACAAGCCAGAAGAGTTTATAAAAAGGACACTGTAGCATAAGAGATTAGTCAAGGCCTCAGACAATCTGAGCCCTGTGACTAAACGAACAAACAAATGAATAAACAAAAGCAACTACCATTGGAAACCTCCTTAAAGGAACAGATACAGAGTTCCTTCCCTCTTTGCCCCTTCCAACCCTTACCCAGAAAACATCTTTTCAAACTGATGTGAAATCAGCTTAGCACTGCTGCATCTCCAAAGCACCAAGTCTGCTCTGATTGTGCAAACTAGTGATGCAGTCCATGTTACAATGGAGAGAAAGTATAATTCAACTTGTTAGGAAAAATAGCCCATTTTTACCCTAGAATCAGAGAATCACCACGGTTGGAGACCTCTAAGATCATCCAGTCCAACCTTTAACCTGTCACTGCTGGAATCCCTAACCCCCAAACCAGATCCTCCAGTGCCACATCCAGATGCCTCTTCAACACTTCCAGGGATGGTGAGTCCACCACCTCCCTGGGCAATATTCCAGTGCCTCAACACCCTCACAGGGAAAACATTTCTCCTCACATCCAATCTGACTCTGCCCTGGCTCAGCTCAAGGCCATTCCCTCTAGTCCTCTCCCTGCAGCCATGGCAAGACACACATCCCCCACCTCTCTCCAACCCTGGCAGGGAGTTGCAGAGAGCCAGGAGGTCACCCCTGAGCCTCTTCTCCAGGCTAAACAAACCCAGTGCCTTCAGCCTTTTCTCATCCCACCTGTTTTCCAGCCCTTCTCTTCCAGAAGAGACCATCCCCCACCTCTCTCCGACCCCTTTCAGGTAGCTGTAGTTAGAATGTACAATGTGCTGCCATGCATTGAACAGCTAGGTAGCATCTTCTCAAGAACACACAAGGTCTATCTGCACTTGACAGAGCTCATCCCAAAGAAGCCAAGAAGGGTTAAGACCTCAGCAGTGGTGTGGACTCACCGTTTGCCACATGCCATGGTTGATGACTGGTCCAGTGCTGGTCACACGGCCTATTCCATTGTACTTCAGCTGCAGCTCTAGTCGTCCTTTGCGCAAAGCCAACACTATCCATGTGCTGTCTTGATGGCCTCCAGCAAAGAAAAGGATACCTTCAGGATCAAAGGTTCTAAAGTCGAACTCAGCCACAAGTCTGACCACACAGGTGCCAAGAAATAAATTAGTTATGCAGAGTTCAAAAACCACAAAGTAGTTTCCATAACAGATAGCATCAAATTCTAGCAGCTACAAAGCTCTGCTAAAACGTACTAGCTTTTAATACACTCCCGAAAGGCTTAAGCTGTGATGACAAGTTTTCGAATGGCATCAAGAATAAAGAAAACAATACTACAGTAATTATCCTAACAGCTCTGTGGTCAGGGCTGCCTTTCTCAATTACTGGTTTGGATCCTGTTTTGCCTTACAGGAATCCATAATCCAAGCAAATAACAATAAACACAGGACTAATTGCTACTGTAACCACTTAACTCCCTTGGCATGCGTCAAAGGCAGTCAGAGGTTTTGACTTATCCTTCTAAATTGTCCTCACCTCGTCAGTTGTTTCCTTTTGAAGCGCAGCCTGATAACAGGAGTGCCACTGAACATCCTCCCCAGGTACAGGGATTTAACACTTCTTCCCACAGCAAAAGGCACACATGGTATGATGTTCTATAATCAAAACACATGTTGGGAGTGCTTATTCTCTTCACACAGCAGAAAGAGGATCAGAGTATGTCTCCACTTCTTTTCTCATGTTGTTGTCATGCATAGTAAGACAGAACTATTGAAATTCCTACAGATTGATGGATGAAGATGAAGAAAAGAATCTGGACAATAAAACCAGAGGTTTAGTATGAAGATAGGCTATATCCCCTATGAGGACAGGCTGAGGGAGTTGGGCCTGTTGAGCCTGGAGAAGAGAAGGTTGTGTGGAGACCTCAGAGCACCTTCCAGGAGCTGAAGGGGCTCCAGGGAAGCTGCAGAGGGACTCTGTGTTAGGAGCTGCAGTGATAGGACATGGGGAAATGGGTTTAAATTGAAGGAGGGAAAGTCTAGGTTGGATGTGAGAAAACGTTTTCCCTGTGAGGGTGGTGAGACACTGGCCCAGGTTGCCCAGGGAGGCTGTGGCTGCCCCAACCCTGGCAGTGTTCGATTCAATATGATTATAAAAGTGTGCAGAGATTTGTTGGACATTTGAACTTTTTGTTCCCTTTTACAAACAGGCCAGTTGAAATGTTGAAACCATTCTGTGTTGCTATTTCTCAGAAATAAAATGTGTTGGGGTATTATGATTATAAATGTGTGCAGAGATTTGTTGGACATTTGAACTTCTTGTTCCCTTTTACAAACAGGCCAATTGAAATGTTGAAACCATTCTATGTTGCTATTTCTCAGAAATAAAATGTGTTGGGGTATTTTTTCTACACAGAGTGGTGGTGTACAGACTTGCCATGAGGGCAGATCACTTCTCATTGATCCATACAACACATATAGTAGGTTAGTGCAGTGTAATGTTTATCCTCCCACAATACAGTTGTACAGAGAACATTTCCTTTCCTTCCCTCCTCCCTATCTGCCTTGGAGGAATGTTTTCCTGTTGCATAATGAAATCATACTCATCAGGCACAGCATAAGGTTTTCTACTGTAGCATCTTGACAGCAACAAAAGATGTGCTAAGAACATGCTGTTGGTTGGTTTCCACAGAGGCAGTGCCACTGAAGCTCATCCACCTCAAGTGCCTGGAGGATCAAAGTGTCAAGTGCAAGTGCTGGTCCATAAGTTACACCATATGCTCTCAGACCTTTGCACCATCCTACTGGGTCTAACTCAGAAAAGCCTGAGCAGCCAGAGCTAACTCATAGCCAGACACAGGGCTGGGAGGGCTGTCACTGGAAGACTTTAGGAGAGACTCCTTGAGCAGCCAGAGCTAACTCATAGCCAAACAGAGGGCTGGGAGGTCTGTCACTGGAAGACTTTAGGAGAGACTCACAGAGACTTTCAGGAGAGAATTTAAGGAGAGACTCGGAGTGACTCACAGACTTTCTCCTTCAAGTTTCTTTTCAGGAGATCTACTGTCCCCAGCTCATGTGACTTTGCCAAGTCTGTTGTGTAGTTACAGCAATAGACACTGACATACCTCACATGTATTCATGTCCTGAGAAAGTTTTACTCCCCCTCTGCCGTCACAGTGACAGGTGTAACTCCCTGGCAAGTTGACACAGGTCTGTTCACAGAGCTTTTCTTCACATTCATCTATATCTATACAGAACCACCAAAGAAGAGAGGAGAAAACAATGAGTTTGTTTAAACATGAATCATCTGGGGAGAAAAGAGCATTATCAGTGCTGTTTCACAGCACCTTTTATTTGAGCATGCCCAAGTGCTCTGTGGCCAGTACTTACCCTACGCCACATCTTTACAGGAGAGAAGAGTTAGAATTAGCATCTGCACAAATCTATTTTCACAGACAGATTCCAGCTGCCCAAAGATACACAGCGAGTCAGTGGGAAGGCTGGAAGCAGAGCTCAGCTCCTTGTCTGCTGGAGCAGAGCCCTGGCCTTTAATTTCTAGACAAGACTTCCTCCCTTCAGGGCCCTTCTGTCCTGACTGGCTCCTGCTCCATCAACTCAGGGACTGCAAGGAAAAGCTGAATTTCTCATTCACTGTCTTCCCTATTTTTCCCCCTTCTGCTTGTTTTTCTCTGATTCACAAAAAATGCAAAAAAACAAAGTGTGACAGCCCACAGGGATCTCTTCAGGCAGAGATAAACACTTAGAGCCCAGCAGGGCTGGTTTGCCTGGGATTCGAGTCATCATATTAACTTAGACAAAAGGCAGGGAACAATGCTAGTTTTGGAATGCTCTCAAAACTTACTCTGCTGAGAAAATTTGCAGGCAGTGCAGCCAGCAGAACTGTGCATGGTTCCAATACACATTAAGCTCCTAGTTCAAAGGAACACCACAAGACAGGTTTTGAAGGAACAACAGCTACTGCTCTGTAACTTGTCCTATGAAGACATGCATAGATGCTTCTGAGCTTTCACCAGATCCTTCACTTGTCAGAAAATCAAGAAATCTCAGTAGCCTGGCTTGTACAGCTTGATTCAAGTCACCAAAGATGACTGCAACTTCAATGAACTCCAAGATGACTGCAAGCTCGATAAACTCAGAGGGGACCACAAGCTGCAAACTCACTCACAACTAAGGAAAGGGAATGAAAGTCCAGTGTGTAAACAAGATTAAAAAAACCCAAACTTCTACTGAAGCATGAAACTAAGTTTCTGTGGTTTTACGGGTTTAAATTATGTAATAAGTGCTAACATGCTGTGATTTCATGAGCTTACCCTGACATGTCTTTCTCACGTCATCGTACTTGTAGCCTGCGTCACAAAGACATTCGTAGGAGCTTATGAGATTTTTACAGCGAGCTTCTCCACAGATGTCTGCTGATGTTGTGCATTCATCTATGTCTGCAAAACAAGCAATTAAACAAGATGCTTCAGAGGAGTTCAGTCACCTCACTGTTCACACCCTGGGGTGGATGTAGGGCCAAGAGATCCCTATATTATTTTACTAACTGAAAAAACAGTGTCTATAAGAATCTGCCTTTGGGGTTAGCTAGCTAAAAGAAGTGGCTTCAGGCTTTCAAAGCCAGTTGGTTTTTCTTTCTTTAAGTCATTAACCACTACTGGGAAAAGCAATGCAAAGTGAGTCAGGAGAAAAGCTGTAAAAGAAAACAACTCCCACAAACCCAACAAGCCCCACTCCCTTCAGGAGGTCTGAAACTGTGGGTTGAAAAGAGCAACAAGTAGGAACTGAGGAACAGCAGCATAGAGTCATAGAACCATCAAGGTTGGAGGAGACCTCTAAGCCATCAAGTCCAACCTGTCACTGCTGGAAACCCTAAACCATATCCTATAGCATCAAATCCAGACACCTCTTCAACACCTCCAGGGATGGTGACTACACCACCTCCCTGGGCAATATCCCAGTGCCTGAACAACCTCCCAGGAAAAACATTTCTCCTCACATCCAATCTGACTCTGCCCTGGCTCAGCTCAAGGCCATTCCCTCTAGTCCTCAACATGAATGTTACCAAAACACTGAAGGAACACAAAGGCTGTGGCACATCACAGATTTCTGTTCTCTGTCCTCAGAGAAGCAAAAGATAATTTTCCACACATTTACAAAATTAAGATCTAAATCAGCTGATCTGCAGATCATCATCTGATCGAAGAGCCGAATTTGTCACAGAGACAAGTCACATCTGAGAGATGTTGTGGGGTTTCACCATGAAGTCAGGCAATGAACTGGAACTGAAGGTCTATAAAAACAAACAAGTGTTCTCCTAACACATTCATGGAATCACAGAATCATCAAGGTTGGAGGTGACCTCGAAGATCATTGAGTCCAACCATTAACCTGCCACTCTGCTGTTAACTAATATCCAGCAAAATCCTGGTGTTGACAAAACATTTCAGTATACCGAGAGCTTAATATTTACTTTTGCTTTCTAGTATGTGTTAAAACTACAATTACACATTACAGGTGTTGATTTTCCCACATGAGTGAGCTGGCTGAGGGTCTATCTAGTAACCTATGTAGCCGAGTCTACAAATCAAGACAAAAGCTAATTTCTGCATGTGTGCACGTGTTGACAGGAATAAATGTGAAAGAAAGTCAAAATGCAATGATAAATCTGAGCTAGCAATAACCACATCTGACAGTAACCTCAGCCACTGGAGGGTCACCCATTGAAGCTACAGCATGCTTACAGGCTAGTGCTCACAGTGCTCTAAGAGACAGTATCACAGAATCACAGCAGGATCAGAGCTGGAAGGGACCCCTGAGGATGACCCAGTCCAACTCCTGGCCCTGCACAGGACATCCCTGACCATCACACCCTGTGCCTGAGAGCATTGGCCAAACACCTCTGGAGCTCTGTCAGCCTTGGGGCTGTGCCCACTGCCCTGGGAGCTGTTCAGTGCCCAAACACCTCTGGGGGAAGAACCATTTGCTAATCTCCAGCCTAACCCTCCCCTGACACAACTTCAGCCCATTCCCTGGGTCCTGTCCCTGGGTGCCAGAGAGAAGAGGTCAGTGCTGCCCCTGCACTTCCTTCCCTGAGGAAGTTGTATCCAGCCATGAGCTCTGTCCTCAGTCTCCTCTTCTCCAGGCTGAACACACCAAGACTCCTTGTATGACTTCCACTCTAGGTCCTCTACCATCTTTGTTGCCCTCCTTTGCACACTCTCTAGTAGCTTAATATCTTTCTTACATTGTGGTGCCCAAACTGCTCACAATACTCCAAACAGCACTAGGGTATTAAATAAATATACATACATATGAAAAAAAATATATATGTGAGTCCCCTTGCCATTCACCTGTCTGTGCCTACTGGCACTAGAGGACAATTCAGAAGTGAAGTTGGCTCTTCTAAGTGGCTACTCCCATTAGAAATGGGTACCCTGTGATCCATGCAGTCATCACTTTTTGCAGTGGATGTGGCACAGTAATAAAATCTTGCTCTTTTTTTTTGCTGGTAGCATTAATGCAAACTGTGTGCAAACTCTTTAGACATATGTCATCACATCCATCTCCAAAAGGTCTATAAGGTACATACACAGATTTAACCTGTTTTTCCATGAGATACACATATCTTTAAGAGTCACCTCTGATCATTAATGAGTCTCTGTCTCAGCATGAAGTTTCTTAACACTTTTAAAATCTCAGTTGCTTAAGTTTTGGTTATGTAAATTAATTCTGCAGTTTCAATCAGATACTTCACTTTCTGTTCTCAGCTGCTACGCAAAATAGATGCCAACCTTCACTAGGGCCTTTCCACAGCTATTAATATTCAGCTGCAGTGAATTTAGCCATCTGTATTCAGCTGGATTCATCCAAATTTAGAAGAATAAAGCAAGAAACACACAAAAGAAAAACAAATGGCTCATATACTACAGCACTGTGAGACTGGGAAGAATCATAACAAGACATCTGGCCAGCACTTCCTCCTCTCAATGTCAGGATGTGAGGACTGATCGGCTAAACCGATTTAGAGCAATCCAAGCCACAAATCCTCTGTGAATCACCCCTGTGTTATGATTTCCAGACTGCTGACAAGCCCAGGCATGTAGACTGGCTGAAGCACCCAGGACAACCCCAGTGAAGTACAACTAACAGGAGCTAACAGTGGAGTACAACTAACAAAAGCCACTAGTGGAGTACAATCAACAGGAGCCACCAGTGAAGTACAACTAACAGGAGCTACCAGTGAAGTACCACCAACAGGAGCCACCAGTGAAGTACCACCAACAGGAGCTACCAGTGGAGCACAACCAACAGGAGCCACCAGTGGAGTACAACCAGCAGCAGCTACCAGTGGGGTACAACAAACAGGAGCCATCAGTGGAGTAAAGCTAACAAGAGCCACCAGTGGAGTAAAACCAGCAGCAGCTACCAGTGGAGCACAACAAACAGGAGCTATGAGTGGAGTACAACCAACAGTAGCCACCAGTGGAGTACAACCAACAGGAGCCACCAGTGGAGTACAACCAACTGGAGCTATGAGTGGAGTACAACTAAGAGGAGCTACCAGCAAGTTTCTGCTGGGCTAGGGAGCAGACCAGAGACGCTCAAGGCAACCCAGCTCTCTGAAATACAGGCACAAGTCACTCAGCATCCACAGAAGCAAGCTGAGAGTCTCAGCAAAGCTTACCTTCACATGTTCTGCTGTCTTTAAGAGCGTAGCCACTCTGGCATGAGCAGCGGTAGCTGCCGAGCTTGTTGATGCAGAGCTGGTTACAGCCACCGTTCTGTGTTCTGCATTCATCAATATCTGCAGCAAAACAAAGTGTGACAGTCAGATTTTCACCTCTGTAAATAATCTGAGGGCAAGAGTGGGATAGGCATGGGGAGGGAGAAAGACTCAATGATATACAGTATTACAGCTGCAATGCTATGATTACAAAAAGCACAAGGATTTCTTTAAAACACTTCAAGTACATTAGCTTAAGTTTGCTTGATAAAAGAGAAGAAAGAGAAGGCATTGATTGTAACTGAGTATCTCTTCCACAGCTCTGAGAATGTGTAAGAGCATCTACACATGTGGAGGTGAAAAAGTTTGTTTGTACAAACAAACTAATGATAACTAATGTATTTTATACCATAACGACCTTTTAACAATATACCATGACCAGGAAGTTCAGGATGAAAACTGTAAATAAAACAAGAACTCTATATACTTACTACTATAGAACTCATGAGAACACAAGAAGTTTTAAGTTCACAGCTATTGAGCACTGTGAACTAAACTCCAAACTTTTGGTCAGGCACTGGAATAGATTGCCCAGGAAGGTGGTGGAGTCACCATCCCTAGAAGTGCTGAAGAGGCATCTGGATCTGACACTGGAGGATCTGGTTTAGGGTTTAGGGGCTCCAGCAGTGACAGGTTAATGGTTGAACTCGATCTTAGAGGTCTCCTCCGACCTTGGTGATTCTGTGATTCTAACTGTGCCCCACTGAAGTTGGCAGCAAAAGCCTGTAAAATCCAGCAGAGCCTTGATTTGCCCCTTGATCTGCCCTACCTGCTCATTACATCCTGCTTGCATATGGGACTCTAGAATTAGCTGATAAGGAGAACAGCTCATGTTATAGTATCTTAAAAGATAACAAGGGAATATGCTTGAGGCTGATCAGTGTCTGAGCTCTCAAAGCTGACTCAATACTGATTGGTCTACTGTCTGAAAAGCTTAAATATGCTGCTTTTGGGTGATCCTATAATCTCCCCACAATATTTACATGAGAATGAAAGGCTTTGGATCTCCTGCTGTCTTGGTTGCCACAGTTCTGGACTGGCTGAATGTGATTTCTAGCGATTACTTACTCTTGGCAGGCAGAAACACAGTGGCCCTGAGGGGAAGCCTTGCAGGCAGAAGGAAAGAAAAAAAAGAACAAAGAGGAGGAAAGATGATTTCAGTAGACAATGCTCTGTGGAGGCCTGGAACTTCTTGCACAAATAGTTTCTGTTCGAATATTCTCTTTGGAGGTGATGGAAATACACCATGAGATATGTGGGATTAAGTGGATGTGGAATAAGATCCTACTATCAAGGAGGCCTTAACAGACTAATTTCATCATAGAATAGAATTCATCAGGGTTGGAGAAGACCTCTAAGATCATCGAGTCCAACCATTAACCTGTCACTGCTGGAACCCCTAAACCCCAAACCAGATCCTCCAGTGCCAGATCCAGATGCCTCTTCAACACCTCCAGGGATGGTGACTCCACCACCTCCCTGGGCAATATCCCAGTGCCTCAACACCACAACAGGGAAAACATTTCTCCTCACATCCAGCTCAAGGCCATTCCCTCTAGTTCTCTCCCTGCAGCCATGGCAGGACACACATCCCCCACCTCTCTCCAACCCTGGCAGGGAGTTGCAGAGAGGCATGAAGTCACCCCTGAGTCTCTTCCCAAGGCTATAGAACCACCTGTTTGTGTGCCATCTGACTCAGACCCTAACTTGCTGGCTGGAAGTCATTGTTCCCACTACAGGGATGCTAGAAGGGGAGATAGGTCAGCATCTCTGGCTCTGCAGTCTATGATGTGTTACCCCAGGGCTCACAGCTGCAGCTGCCACAGTTCAGCTGGAAAAGCCACTACAGCTCCATTTCTGCTGCCCCTTCAAAGGAGTGGGGCAGAAAGTCAGAGTCAAACTTAGATTACCTTGCCAAGACCAAGCTGAGTTCCAATATAGGTGTTCAAAGCCAACTTGGATGAAGTCTTGAGCAATATGGTGTGGTGGGAGGTGTCCCTGCCCAGGGCAGGGAGTTGGGACTGGATGATCTCTAAGGTCCATTCCAACCCCTAAAATTTTATGATTCTATGAATATAAAGCTGTTGATGTGAAAGAGTTACCTTATTCACAGCAGGGTTCAAAACACAAGTGGTGTGTAATCCACACTCAGACTTCTGAATTGTGCAGCACAGTATCAGTGACAATTTGAACACAGCAAAGCCCAAAACATGTTTGTTACAAGCATAAAAGATAACAAAACCCAATTACCTTTATCACATGTTTTTCCCTGCCAGCCATGCTTGCATTCACAATAGAAGTCTCCCTTGAGGTCCTCACATTTGACAGTCCCCTCTTTGTGACAAGGATCAGGAGAGCACTGGTTTGGCAAATCTGATTCAGAGAAGGAATAAAAAAACCAAAAGAAAACAGAACAATGCATTAAATTCACTGACAAACAGGTGTTTCGCTCTCACTACTGTTTAACCTTCCCAGCTTTTAATGGGGAATCACTGTCAGAAACACTCACACCTGGCAAAACTGGAAGCGAATTCTTAGTGCTCACATGCCAAATAAGCTGTGCCAGGAATTCTGCAGAGCACATGCAGTGGAATTCATTTCATTGCAAAAGGGAGTAAGCTACCACCCCTGTATCTGAAGGGCACATCCTGAAAGAAACAACTCAGAGGAGCTCATTTTCAAGAAAGTTAATTCTGCTCTCCCTAGTTTTGGAGAAAACAAAAAGCAGTATGAACTAAAGTACACAGGAAAGGATGGGTACTCTTTTCCTTTTGGTAGTTCAACTGATGATCTTAACAAGGCTGAGAGATTTGTGGCTAGCAGAGGTTTATATCTGAATTTTTCGTCAAAGCTGTCTCACCAATGTTGGTAACAGCAAAGGAATAGCCAAACACTAATCCAGTTTACAGAGGGCACAATGTTCCTCTGGGGATTTTTAATCCAAGCTCCAATACTTGGCAATGAGCTTTCTCCACAGGAAAGCAGCAAGAGAGGAGTTACCACACTCTGGGGAGGACTGGAGGAACAAATTTCACACTAAAGCTCAGTGAATGGAAGTGACCTGTCCAAACTCACCTACCTACCAAACACCCAGGGACAGGAACAGCTAAAGGAAGGATGAGAGAATCCCTTTGTTCACACAAAACAATGAGTTGGTGGCTATCATGTAGTAGCAACCCGTTACTCTGGTGTTCTAGACCACTGAACTTCAAAAGCATAAATGTGTTAACTATTTCCACAGCCTTAACCAGAAGGAACAGTGCAGAAGCTCATTGTGTATATTGCAAAGCACAGCTACCCAAAGGGCCTTTCTTCCATATCCCCCTCCAGCATTGGGGAGTGCCCTGTGGGTACACACTAAGTGAGCAGCAGCAGCAAAGACACCTTTCCATACTCTGGTTCTGCTGAGACCAACATCCAGTTCAGACTCTTGATGACATTCTGAAATGTGACTTGAGAATGGATGGGCAATATGGTGTGGCAGAGGAGGGTTTTTTTTAGACTAGCAGCCCCATCAGACTTCTCAAACAGAGAAATTAAGGCTTGGATTAACTCCTACTTCTCTCAGGATTATACTGCTTCTACATGTCTCTGCCCAACCTCCTCTGAAAGTCACCTTCATGACAGGCTGCTTTGAAAGAACTTCAGCATCTCTGTGAGTGCAGGCAGAAGCAGCTTCCTTTGATGTCTTATGAACAGAGTTTGCACTGACTGCCTCAGATTTGAACCTCAGTGGCCACAGGGTGGTTGAGATTGGCAGGCATCTCTGGAGGTCACTTGCCCTACCTCCCTGCTCAGTGAGGTCCACCTACAGCCAGTTGACCAGGACCATGTCCAGATAGCTTTTGATTATCTCCAAGGATGAAGACTCCACAACTTCCCTAGGCAAGCTGTGTCAGTTTTGGGCCACCCTCACAGTGAAAAATTATCTCCTGATGTTCAGGCAAAACCTTCCATGTTCCAGTTTGCTTCACAGCATTTTGGACTCCTTGTTTGCCCTTTTGGACAAACATCAATATTATGCCATGTTAGGCATGAAAATAAGCCAAGAGTTTATGGTCAAATGTTGGATGCTATTTGTTTTATAACTATCAAGACAAAACTGGTCAGATTTTTAGGCTGCAAAGAATCTGAGCCTCAGCAAGGTGTTCCATTCTTGGGCTGCACTGAATCACCAGAAGCCTGAAGTCAGATGCACACAGTGTTGCAGTTTGTTCAGGTTACCATGAAGTACTAATTTCCGATTTCATTTACCTCATTACACAATATAAAAGCTGAGATTTGGGCATAAGGACTGGCTAGAGCAAGTTCAAAAAGTACAACAAACAGATATCTATACAAATCCACCATTCTTCTGCAGAGGACTGAGAGATGCCAAAAAACAGCAGATGACTGGCAATGGGCATCATTCAATCTTGTGGGTTGACTCAACCAGAACAAAATAGATCATAGAATCAACCAAATTGGAAAAGACCTCCATGATCATCAAGTCCAACACTACTGTGGTTACTACACCATGGCACTAAGTGCCACATCCAGTCTCAGCTTGAAAACCTCCAGGGATGGGGAATCCACCACCTCCCTGGGCAGCACATTCCAATGTCTGATCACTCTCTCTGTAAAAAATCTCTTCCTAATATCCAACCTAACCCTCCCCTGGCAGAGCTTGAGTCTGTGCCCTCTTGTCCTGCTGCTGGTTGCCTGGGAGAAGAGACCAACCCCCACCTGACTCCAACCTCCTGTCAGGGAGTTGCAGAGGGTGAGAAGGTCTCCCCTGAGCCTCCTCTTCTCCAGGCTGAACAACCCCAGAGGAGCTCTGTAAAAGGACATAAATGATCACAAACATCAACAACTGAAAAGACTTTGCATTTCCAGTTGTGATTTCATCTACATCTACCCAAATGCAATCAAAACACAGCGGATCCATCCACTCTCTCACTTCAAGGTCTCCTCTGTGACCTGCACAGCTTCAACCTCCAGTTATGCCATTGAGAAGATAAGACTTGATTCTGAGCCTCAGCAAGGTGTCCCATTGAGGACAAGGTGTGCTGGTAGGAGAGAGCCAGAGTCTGATAGGGAAGGGAGATTGACTTGCTCAAAGAAATGCTTATTTTCAGGATTTCATCTTGCTGTTCAGCAGCTAATGCCTGGGAAAACTCTACTGGAAGAGCATGGGAACACAATCCTAAAAGCCTCACAGAAATAAACATCCTCTCACTACAAACAAGGCTTAATTATCTTTCTTCCTCCCCACTCCAGCTGTGCAGAGCTGGGGCAAAGCCACAGCCAAAGCACAGGCCAGGCCACACAAAAGAAACAGCTACATAGGCTGTCTGAACATCCACCTGCCAGAACACCTCCTGATAAACCAGGAGGTGGAGGAGTTGGGGAAGGAGAGGCCAGGTTAAGGCAGTGGTGAGCCACAACAGGGCAGGTCTGACCAGGATGTTTATTTTCCTGGATAGACCAGAATGTGTTTAGGTAGAGTAAGCCAAGTCTGGGGTTGTTTTTCTTTTGAAGCAGCACAAATCAAGCCTCCCAGACATGACACTGCTTCCAAAGACACTTGATAAGCAACACGAGTCAACACAGTTTTGTGGGATTGATCTGGTGTATCCTCAACTTCCTGACTGTTTCCCTCAAACTGGATTCTGATGCGCCTTGCAGAGACAGATGGTAATAAGGCTTTCCAGCAGAACACCAACTTATCACAACCCATGGTAAATGGCAGCAACAAGCACAGGCACTTCTATCACATCAACACTGTGCTCATAGTTTGCTTCCTCTTATCATGAGAGTTTGAGAACCTAAGACACAGTCTCATACTCTTCTGGGGGCTTCAGAGCTGTGTAACTCCACTAGCATCACAGAAGGTACTCCTGATTTAAACCACTGCAAGTGAAAATGGAGTTTTTCTTTCCATTCATTTATGTGACAGAATTTATTAAAGCTTTTGAAAGTAATAATGAGCATAATCTTCTCATGTGCTTTGAGCTATGACTGATAGCACACAATCATATACCTAGCTCATAAGTACAGAGAAGACAACTAGCAGCTCCATTCTTCAAGTCTGTATGGAAATAACACTTGGCCTAAGTTCACTAACTGCCACTTCCAGTTCACTTCCCTGTGCTGTAACTTTACTTTCTGATCTTCACAAAATGGTGCATATTAAACCTTCATAAGGAAATGCTAAGTTGCAAAGATTATGACACTCTCTACTGAAAAGTAGGCACATGTGACCTAACAAAAATCTCACTGTGTTTTTTTTAAGGCCACATGAAGCTTCACTGCCAAAAAATCCTGTAGTTTTCCAAAGTCTTGCAGAACCAAATCCTTAATTCCTAGCTGACCTACAGGATCTCTGTTAGAAGGAGATCCAGATCTGCAGACCAAACTACAGGTATCTGTGTGTAAAGTAAGCATCTATCTGCAATCTGCTTGTGAATACTCATTGCAGGCAGTGGACATCTCACCAGTACAATAAATGGATTCTGTACAGAGATTCTGATCTCCCAGAGCAGACACAGTTTGTTCATTGGAATCCCTTTAGACCTAGAGAAGAATAACTCTCTGCTGACTGTGATGGGAATATTGTTCATGCAGGCACCTATTCTGGAAAGATCTGCATCTAACTCCCTGAATCTGGAGCAGAATCCTATCTGTAAACCTGATCTAAAGAGCTTATGAAACTAAGAATCTTCATATATTCTGCTAAGGTGGCTAATCACTGTCACAGTCAAAATTCCTACCTTATTTCTAGGATAAACTAGTGTAGTTAATTACCCTCCAAGCCCTTTGGTTGCAATATCATAGAATAATAAAGGTTAGAGGACATCTATGAGATCACCAAGTCCAATTGTTAACCTG